ATGTTTCGCGGTAGTCTTTCAGGCAACTTGCGAGAGCGGAGCTCCAGGTCTTCTTGGGGATCTCAGCAGCCTCCACCAAATGTGATGACGTTTATTCGAGCCAAGAAGTCGCAGCGAGGTCGCAACGGAAAGTGGGCATATGGCAAGTCTGGCAGAGGCGGCACAAACTCTCGCGCAAGCAGAGCACGGGCTTTTTGTTGTCTTCCGAAGGCGCATACGCGTTGGTGCGTATGCTCCACTACAATAAGAAGGAGACATATTTGTGATAAGTCATTTGCAGTATCTTGCAGCATTGTTCCAAGCAAACAACGGATTGTATGTATACAATACATCAAATACATAAAAGTACGTATACCATGTCAAGTATGATTTTGTTAGACATATAATCTATACATAACGAAGTGGAGATTACAACGAGGTGTGTGTTAGTGTACCTGTTAATTTTTCTGCAGAAAGTATTTTTTAAGAGCACAGGCAAAACTTTTGCTTTCTTTTATTTGGCATGGTATATCATTCCAGACCTTTACTCCAGCAAATTGTAGCAATCGTTTGCCATAAACATTGTTAGTAGGCGGAAGATTGAAATTATGTAATGTGGCACGTCTGATAAGGCGGCAAGAGGATGAAAATACTGATATATGAAAGGGCAGGTTATAAGAAATGACATTATGGACGGTAAGTGCAATTTTTTGCTGTCGTAAATTATCAAATGGTATGATTTCCATATTACGAAACAATGACGCACTGTGTTGATCATATCTAGCATTGTTTATTATTCGAAGTTCTCGCTTTTGTAGTATACGTAAGGGTTCTAGATATGTTTTAAAAGTCCATCCCCATGAATCTATGCAATATGTGAGGTGACAATGAAAAAATGTGAAATATAGAATTCGGAGAATACTACTTTTAAAATAATTTCTAGCGGTTAGTAATGTACTGCATCCAGATCCCAGTTTAGCGCATACAGAGTAAATGTGGCTTTGCCAGTTTAGCTGGCTATCGAGAATTACACCCAGATATATGAATTCGTTCGTCTTCTCAAGCACGCAGTTATTTATTGTAATGCAAATGAACTCATTACTTATATCTCGATAACGGGAGTGGAAAATAGTGTATTTAGTTTTCTTTGCATTCAGTTTTAGTTTATTCGCTATAAACCACTGACAAACATTTTTTAGTTCTACATTACTTTTATGCTCGAGATCCCTTATATTGTCTGCAGTAACAATAACGGCTGTATCATCAGCGTACATTAGCATCTCTGCCGATGTCAATATGTTTGGTAGGTCGTTTACGTACAGTGAGAACAGCAAGGGTCTAAGAACGGAGCCTTGTGGTACCCCTGTGTGTATATTTAACAGGGAGGAAGTGAGATTATGCATAATCACCATTTGTTGACGTTCGCTCATGTAACTAGAAAATAAGTCAAAAATTTTGCCACGTAAACCGTAGTGTCTTAATTTCATTAGTAATATATCATGGTCAACTGTATCAAATGCTTTCTTTAAATCAACAAAAACTACTGCTACAAGGAGGTTATTATTTAATGCTTCGTTAATTTTTTTGTGATACAGATAGTACAGCAGTGGCGGTGGAATGGTGCGCCCGAAATCCATGTTGCTCGGCGCATATTACACGATATTTTTCTAGGAAGACGCGCATCCATTTTGCTAGAATTCTTTCAAATATGTTATTTATTATGCTTAAAACAGATATAGGCCTATAACTTGAGGGATCAGAGCGATCACCCTCCTTGTACACCGGTACTACTTTAGCAGTTTTCAGACAGGATGGGTACGTTGACATACGCAAGGAGTGGTTATATATATGGCATAGGATAGGGCCTAAGACGTCAATATTGTCTTTTACTATCCGCGCTGTGATCCCATCTATCCCACTGGCTTTATTGGTGGCTAAATTAGCAGTAGTGTTTTGAATTTCGTCGAGACTAATGTTGTGTACCGCAAACGTACTCGGCAAAGACGGCGAAAAACATTGAGGAGTGGAGGAAGAAAACTGCATTGCTAACGTCAGACCAATTTTAGTGAAATAATGATTAAAGTTATCTAGAGTTTGTGCATCAATAGAATCAGGTAGCACGCGTTGTTGTGGTTGATTGCCAACAACTTCGTTTACGATCTCCCAAGTTTTTTTAGAGTTGCCCTAAGCTTGTTCTATTAGGCGAGAGTAATATTCCTTCTTTCGCTGCCTCGTAAGGAGCACGGATTTATTCCTGAAAATTTTAAACTGGCCAAGGTAATATTTATTATTTCTATGTTTCTTCCATTTATGGTACCAAAAATCTTTCGTCTTCAGCAGGTCAAGGATTTCTGCTGTCATCCAAGGACATAGCGGGGTCTTATATGAGCGCGCAGATACGTTTGAGTGGCTATTTCCAATGGCTCTGATAAGGAATTTCATTAAGTTCTGAAGTTCAACATTGACGTCATCGTTATATAGACTGTCAGGGTCAATGGCGAGAATGATGCTTCGTAGTAAATTGTAATCTATTTTGCCCTCTGTTGTGATACGTGGTGTGCTGCTTTTTCGTGTGTCATTTATGGAAACAAAAACAGGAAGGTAATTTGACATGAGCTTATATGTTCACGAGCTTATATATTACACGAGCTTATATGTTCTATGTATTATAAATTTTTAAAAGTAACATATTTTGCATGTTATCAGTTGCATTCTACCGGAAGTTAAATCGTGCTAGTACTACTCAAAATTTCTTCTGCTCTTGACCAAAAAAAAAAGGACATTTGAAGTACATTTGCGTATGCCTTGTTTCAAATTTCAAACAAATATTGCACAGGTAAGTTTGGTCATGATAAACCTGCTTACTTTTATTTATAATGTGCCATGTATATATATTGCTAGAATTCGATTGAATATTATTTGGCCAAATGACTATTCGCCTCGAATTCACTTCAAGTGTAAATTTGCTTTTTGCACAACCCTATAATGAAGGTTGAATTACTGATTTCTTTTTTCTTTGTAGTTTTAGCAGATCTTGATTGAATGCGCACTTGTAAAAAGATGTCGACAAATGGTAGAGGACACATGCTGTTGTATAATGTAGTTCCCTAAATCCTTTTCACTGGCAACATCGGTCGCTATTCATGTTTTGACAGTGCTTCTATCGAAGTGAACTACTATCGTATGAAAACTAACTATCTGTCATTATGGTGATCACCACGCGTGTAATGTTTCACAGGACACATAGAGCACAAGGACGCACACAAGCATCTTTTACAAAGGTGTTAGAATAGGATGGGCAGCTGTCAGCCAAGTTTACTGATGTCACTGTCACGTTCAAGAAATTCGAGAAAAAACACCAGAATATGCCATGTCAGGAGCAGAGGAGCCTTACTGAGGATTTCAAGGCTAACAACTCATGACACGCATTTGTCACCGACATTCTCTGCAAGTCTCCTCATACCTCCGCAATGTGGCACATTTATTTAACAAGCTCAAGCCCATTGTGCCACACTGTAATGCTGAACAATCTTCTTGTTCTCCAAAGTCCACCACCGCAACTAAACAAAGAAAAAGGTCAAAGTCTGCAGTGAGGCTCTCACTGTAATGTGTCACTTCCCTGGCTGGCTTGTGAAAGCCTCACGTGCTGTCGGACGCAAAAGTTTACCGTATCTATAGCATCTGACGGAGCGACAAAAATCTGCATCACTGTGTCACCTACCATGACAGGGCGGGTTGGCACATTTAGATAATGCGCCTTTGCCGAATCTAATCGCAAAGGCCACATTCTGCACTTTTTCGATGCTCCGCCACAGACTGAAGATCCTATAAAATTTTGCGTCCGACAGTACACCAATTCTCATGGTGGCTGGAATGTGCCAAACTCTTGACATTTTTGGGGACCTCACTCAGACTCACTCGTGATAGCACGTTTTGCACTTAGAGCTAACTCCAACTCACTCGTAAAAATTTTCCTGAGCCAGAGTCACTCGTACTCACACTCATGAAGTTTGCTCAACCAGACTGAAACTCGCCAAAATATTACTCACTCAGACTCACGGGTTGATTTGAGTTTGAACGAGTCCAAAGTAGCCGGCTCACGAGCCTGTTAGCCTAGAATTAGTATTTTTTACCATGGTGTCGATGCTATTAAACACCAATATCTCACATAATCAGTGCTTTCTTTGGCACCTTTCGACACAGTACCTTCAGATAAAAGTTATGAGTGGTTTCAAACCAGTAAGGACATTTTTCTTGAAAGAGATGACACCATACTTTGTTATCAAGAACTTCCCAGTGAGAGTTAGCGGTAGGGGGGGAGGCAAGGCACCCCCCAAATAATTTGTGCCTCTGATCAACAAATACTGAAATGGTGTATGTGTCTACTCACACTGTTTGTTGTGCTAAAGTCTACCTAGAATATTTTTCTAAAATAGTACATTTTAAGAAAAGCTTGATAAAAGTAATTTATACATTCTATTGGCACTTTTGTTTTGTAGAAAAATTCTCGAAAACACTACAATTTGCTCAGTTTTGTGTACGCTCTAAGGAGTGATAACTTTGAAGCTATGATAACGAACTGTCTTATAATACGAGCACATTGCTCTAAAAATGCAAAAATGCAAGTATTTAAATAATTTACAGACGGTCAATTTATAGAAAATTTTTTTCATGCCTGGTTTTCGACCATTTATCATTAATTTTAAATGGCGGTCTCACGAATGCAAAATATTTTTGCCGCTCAAAATATCTTGGAAAAATACTTTAGTACTAATGTCTATATGTGTGTAATTTTCTCAAACTATTACACAGAAATTGATTTTGGTCGAGCGCCCTGGTTGGGACAGTTAGCGTGGAATGACTCCCCCCTTCCCCCCCAAACAAAATAAAGGAACTGACGCACAACTCAGATTTGGGAAATGCCGTAAAGGTCCATTAGCCCCGAGCGCACTTCCATACCGATGTATTTATTAGAACATTGCTGACCGCTTAGTTACAACGAGACAAGACGAGACGCTTACTTGGCTTCCCTCTTGTGCCCGTTCTTTGCGTGGTACTTGATTCCGTTGGCATTCTTGTAGCGCTTCTTGCATCCTGGAACAGGGCAAGCAAATGGCTTCTCTTCCGTGGAACCTGCACTGCTCATCATCCTGTACAACAAAAAAAAAAAAAATGCCCATCGGCTCACTGTCTCATCATGTCACTTTGAGCAACAGGAAAACATAGACAACACTTCATAGAATCATGCTAATTTCCATAGAGAGGCAACCTCCTATGCCGATCAAATATCATTTGCATCAGTTTGCTAATGTTACCATATTTTATAAAGTACAACTTGTGCAAAATATTGCCACATGGTTTGCTTGTGTGAGATCGAAGAGTGAAAGAGGACAAAGACGATCTCTCTGAGCCGCTGCTTGGCTAGCCGACTCAACGAGCCCATTATATCAAGTTTGTCGTGAGTAACGTGACCAGACTGGTGGAGTTGCTGGGTACGGCTCACGAACCACCCAACGCCCAAGACCCCGTCCAGCAGCCGGAACACAAGCCCTGCACCCGTGGACACTCCTGTTCATAGAGTAAGCCGCCGCCAACGAGGCCTACCGCCCGAGACACCAACCACTGACGCAGCGACTGACTTCGACACAAGATCCCGTGCAAGCTCTGACATCTTCCACGCCGATCTACTGCACCGTCCAGAACCCGCTCATGCCTAGCCCCTTTCACGGAGATCAGCATGAAGATGTTGACGACTGGCTGAGTGAGTTCGAACGTGTCGCAGCGATCAATTACTGGGATGATGCCGCAAAGCTCCGGAACGTGTACACTTGCCTAAAAGACGGTGCCAAGACGTGGTTTTTGAACAGGGATGATGTTCTGACATCTTGGCGCGAGTTCCAGCGTCGCCTCCTGGAGACCTACAGGAGTCCCGACCGCCGTGAACGGGCGGAGGGTGAACTACAATCACGCATCCACATGCCCAATGAGACCGTCTCGATGTACGTCGAGGACATGACACGGCTTTTCAAGCGAGCAGATCCTGCTATGGCAGAAGAAAAAAAGTTGCGCCACCTCATGCGTGGTGTGAAGGAACAACTTTTTGCTGGTTTGGTGCGTAGTCCCCCCAAAAGTGTTGCTGAGTTCCTTACTGAAGCGGCAACAATGGAGCAAGTACTGCACCAACGGTCTGCCCTCTTTGACCGTCAAGTGAATGCTGCCTCAACTCCCGAAATTTTTGCCACCCCTGGGAGCAAGAGCCCCGAATGGATTCGCGAGATCATCCGATCTGTCGTCCGGGAAGAAATGGAAAAGATGTACGGGACAAGGCAAATCGATGTTGGTTCTATCACCACTGTCATCCGTGACGAGGTCCAGCAGGTGCTGCACGCCCATCGTTTTCCGCCCACGTTGGTTGATCCAGAAACGGCTCCTGTGCCTACTGACTGTCGCCATCATACGTGCGTGGAAGCCTTGCGATCTGCCACTCCTCTTTCTGGTCAAGGAGTCCCGACCCAGCCAGTGCCGCACGTCCCGATCCAGACAATGCCATACGTCCCGATCCAGACAATGATTCCGTCAGTCGCGATTCAGTCAGCGCACGCTGATTTGGACATCGATAGTCGCCGTGCACCGACGCGCAAGTCTGATCTCTGGCATACGCCAGACAGACGACCCCTCTGCTATCATTGCGGTGAGGCTGGTCACATTTACCGCGAATGCCCATACCGGCAACTTGGACTGCGTGGATTTTCCGTCAATTCCCCTCGTCCCCGAATTGGTCAAAGGCCAAGGGATATCGAAGAGTATCTCGCGCAACAGCGTGCACCTTTTACACGACAGCAATCGCGGTCACCATCTCCAAGGAAACCCGCAGCCACTGGGCCACGTTTCGGGGTGACGGCACGGGAACGCTCCCCGAGCCCTCGTCGGGAAAACTGAAGGCAGCGGCTTTCGGGGGCAAGGTCGCTGGGACTCAAAGTGAGGAAGACCTCTCATCGACGCTTGCACGCAACGCCGAAGGCATTTCGTCAGAGAATAATCGCCGTACTGAAGAAACGGCGACATCCACATCTGAACCTAGTGACCGCGTGTCACTCGACATACCTGTGCTGATTGATGGTCTTCAGGTCAGTACATTGGTAGACACTGGTGCAGACTATTCGATCATCAGCGGGAGGCTAGCGAAAGATCTCAGGAAAGCGATCACGCCGTGGAATGGAACGCGAATTCGAACAGCTGGAGGACACGTTGTAACACCGCTGGGTCGCTGTACCGCAAGAGTGAAAATTCGTGCGTCAACGTTTGTGCTCAGCTGCCTCGTTCTTCGCGACTGTTCGCGTCAGCTGATTATCGGCACGGACTTCCTTCGGGAATACGGTGCCATCATAAATCTCCGTGAGCGCATCGTGACCTTCTCGACTCAAGGCGCAACAGATCGAGACGCCGATAACTGCCGTAGACTTGCGCTGCGTGTTGCTGACGACAGTGTGACGCTGCCACCTCGAGCAACTGTTCCCATCGAAGTCACTTGTGAAGACTTCCAAGACGGCGACGTGGTGGCTGAAAGCAACTTATCACTTCTGCTGCTCCAAGGTGTATGCGCCGCCCGAAGTGTTGTGCGCGTCCGTGACGGACAGTCAACGATACTAGCTACGAACTTCAATTACGAGCACCGGCATCTTTTCCGTGGAACCACCCTAGCTTATGGAGAACCTGTTGCTGACGTCACGGAGTGCTTCGCGTCCGAGGAAACGCATGAGAATGAGGGATTTTTAGACCGCATCGACATTAATTCGACGCTGTCAGACGAGAGAAAAGCTGCACTTCATGACCTTTTAAGGGAGTTTCGATCTTGCTTCGCCTCTTCTTCTAAAGTACGTCAAACACACCTCACGAAGCATCGAATTATTACCGACGATGACGTCCGCCCCATCCGGCAGCAGCCTTATCGCGTTTCTGCCAAAGAACGCGAGGCTATTCAGACACAAGTAAAAGAGATGCTGGATGACGGGATGATTCAACCATCCAGCAGCGCTTGGTCCTCGCCAGTCGTTCTAGTAAAGAAAAAAGACGGAACGCTGCGATTCTGTATTGACTACAGGAAGCTTAATAGCGTCACAAAAAAGGACGTCTACCCATTTCCACGGGCCGACGACTCCCTCGACAGGTTAAGACACGCAAAGTATTTTTCGTCCATCAATCTAAAGAGTGGCTATTGGCAAATTGAAGTGGATGAACGAGACCGAGAAAAAACCGCGTTTGTGACTCCAGACGGACTTTGCGAATTCTGAGTTCTGCCCTTCAGCCTCTGTTCTGCACCAGCCACTTTTCAGAGGATGATGGACACAGTTCTCACTGGCTTGAAGTGGCAAAGCTGCCTTGTCTACCTCGATGATGTGGTCATCTTTTCGGAGAGCTTCGAAGAACATCTGAAGCGTCTGAGAAAGGTTCTGGAAGCCATTTGCAAAGCTGAACTCACGCTGAAACCTCAAAAGTGCCATTTCGGCTATGAAGAGCTGAAATTTCTGGGACATGTCATTAGTGCGGATGGAGTGCGACCTGATCCAGACAAAACTGCTGCTGTCGCCGCCTTCCCTGTTCCATCAGATAAAAGAGCAGTACGCCGTTTCCTCAGCTTGTGAGGACCATCCCATCTTGATGAGGACGCTGCTACAGAAATTCATACAGATGCCAGCAACGTCGGACTTGGCGCTGTCCTTGTACAACGACACGGCGGCGTTGAGCATGTGATAGCTTATGCCAGTCGTACTCTTTCTCGAGCCGAGACCAACTATTCTACGCCAGAAAAAGAATGCCTCGCAGTCATGTGGGCGGCGACCAAATTTCGGCCTTACCTCTACGGTCGTCCCTTCAAAGTGGTGACTGACCACCACTCGCTCTGCTGGCTGGCAAATCTCAGAGATCCATCCGGCCGTCTCGCACGGTGGAGTTTGCGTTTGCAGGAGTTCGATATTACGATTGTGTACAGGTCAGGGCGCAAACACGAAGACGCCGACGCGCTTTCTCGAGCACCTGTGGGGAACGCTGTCAGGGGCTCCGAAGATGAAGATGCCTTTCTCGGAGCAGTTAGCGACGCCGAATTTATGTCAAAGCAGCGGGCAGACGACGAATTACGCCCAGTCATTGATTCCCTGGAAGGCCGCAACTCTCAGGTCCCTCAACACATTGCTCGCGAACTGTCCTCTTTTCGTCTAAGAAGAGGCATTCTTTACAAGAAAAACACCCGTGGTAGCGACAAAGCCTTCCTACTCGTTGTTCCTACCGACATGCGTGATGAGATCCTCCTTGCGTGCCACGACGAGCACACGTCAGGACATTTGGGCTATTCGCGAACTCTCGCCACAGTACGCCAACAGTATTACTGGCCGCGACTATCAACTAGTGTACATCGATATGTGAAAGGCTGCCGTGAGTGCCAGCGCCGCAAGACTCCGCCTGTGAGACCCGCGGGCCTGCTCCAGCCGATCGGCACCACCACGAACACCATTTGACCTCGTGGGAATGGACCTTCTCGGGCCTTTCCCTTTGTCGTCCTCTGGGAACAAATGGATTATAGTTGCGACAGATTATCTTACTAGTTATGCTGAAACAAAAGCGTTACCCCGTGGCACGGCCTCCGAAGTCGCGCAGTTCTTCGTGCACCAAATCGTCCTACGACATGATGCTCCGTCATGCGTGATTACGGACAGAGTGACGTCGTTTACAGCACGAATGATGGAGGACATTTTTAAACTGAGCTGCACAAGTCATCGAAAAACAACGGCTTATCACCTGCAATCCAATGGACTGACAGAGAGGCTTAACAAGACCATAGCGGACATGCTGTCAATGTACGTGGACGTACAACACAAAACCTGGGACGAGATTCTTTCATACACCACGTTTGCTTACAATACGGCAACGCAAGAAACAACGCGATTTCCGCCTTTCCGACTTGTTTACGGACGCAACGTGCGAACCATGATCGATGCTATGCTTCCATGCGACCAAAGCAATGAACTTGCTCAAGACGCTGAGCAATACACTCAATACGCCGAAGAAGCTCGTCAGCTAGCTCGCATAAACACCAGTCACCAACAAGATACAGATGCACGACGTTACAACCTCCGCCATCGAAATGTCACCTACC